GGGGGGCCTGTGGGACCACTAGCAAGCCTTGAATGGAGCTCTAAAAGGAAGAGTTCATTCTCAGGGAGTCCAACTGAATGGAACTTAAGGGGAAATGGCAGCACAAAGAAAGCACTGGAGGGCTCCACAAAGAACAGGGTTTCCCAGCAAGCTGCACAGCTCAACATCCTCCTGGAAAATAGGGGACAGAATAATGCCACCCTTTTCTTTTGGAAAAGCATTCCTCCAACAAATTCCTAATCGAAATAACTGTTGGGAGAAAGGAAACTCTGCCACAAGACTCAACCTGATCCTGCCCAGAAAGAAGAAGCACATGGAGAAATGGACTGATGATGTCCGGAGCCAGGAACCGGCTACACCTTTGGCATCTTACCCTGCTCTCTTGTGCCAGGTGGGCCAGGTTATCAAAGCGGGGCATCTCATTTCTGTTCATGATGGAAATGTAGCAGGTGTTCTGTTGCGTGACTTTGGTTGCAATGACACCCTGTAAAAGAAAAGAATTCAGCACTTACAATTCAGTTTCTTCCAAGTACGAATCTTGGCGTAAAGTCAGGATGGAAACCATGACTATTGTTGTGTTTCACTGCTCCACATTGCAGACTCCAAACGTTCAGAGTAAAGAAACAATGGCCATCCCTGGGCCAGCTGTACGAGCAGCCAGATTGCATGTACACTTTTTGAAGGAGTCCCTGTCCCTGCCACTGACCGTGTTGTAGTTCCAGATGGTTTTCCAGGACCCGCTGAAGCTCCTTTGCTCAATGACAGCCACACGCCATTGCCTGTTGATGGTCACAATTTGGGACTGGCCACCAATGATGACTTGTGTGTTGTTGAAGATGCCGCTGGGAATCTGCTGAGACTGAAAAGTCAAGGGAAAGAAGATGTTTCACCATTAAAAGGAGACAGTGATGTCCCCAAATTTTCTGAAAATTCCTGATAGAATGGAAGAAGTACTAGCCACTGGGAAGTGTCCTCAGTCTTTTCCAAAGGACCCTGTATCATGGCTGTGGCAGTGGACAGAGGCCGTAAGAATCCTTTTATGGATTCAGTGAATCTTTGCTGCATCTGACAGCTGCCATCTAGTGCCTTTAGATGTTGATGCATGCTCGGGCAATGGCCAGAGTAAATCCACCTTCAAGGGCTTCGATGGAAACCTCTGCTCACTCATTGCCCTCTTCCAGCACCTGCACCCTCACAATAGAGGAGATGCCAGGCAAGAATGACATTTGTGTTGGCTTTTGGGCAGCAGCTTGGGTTCCCCTTATTTGGTTCAAGAAAGCTCCTGGCTAAGGTGTACTCACCGGGAAATTTCCATTCCAATTGCCATTCCAATTGTTATTGCCATTCCAATTGCCATTCCAGTTGTGATTACCATTCCAATTGCCATTCCAGTTGTTA